CTGTCGGGGGCCCTCCCTCCACCCTGCGGGACCAGGGAGGATAATCTGCAGCCACTTCCAGCTGCACCTCAGCAAGCAGTCGCTCGGATCCCCCAAGCAGCTCTTCTCCCACACCCTCCCAGGTGCTGGGGCCAGCAGGGAGCTCCGTGCAGATACCTTTCTCGCAGTGCTTGCCAAGGAAGCCCCGAGGACACTCGCAGGTGTACGAGTCATCGTGAACCTCACAGGATCCCCCGTTCAGGCAGGGCTCTGAGTCACAGGGGGATGGCATCGCTGCAAAGCCAAACAGAGGGGGTCACGGAGGGTGTCCAAGGGCGGGAGGGCTGCTCCCCAGCTGATGACTGCATCCCCTGCTCATCCCCCTGGCCCGTCACGTGCCCTCCCCAGGGCTGGTCCCACACCTTTCCAGAAGGAGACTCACTGTGGTTGGTGCCATAGGCGGTGTGGCAGACGCAGAGGTAGCTCCCACCATACTCCATGCAGTAACCACCATCTGGGCACTGTGTGTTCATGTTGCACGGCGTGGTGGTGACTTCTGCAAATACATGACCCATGCCAGCCTCCATCAGCCAGCAGCAGGAGGGCACTCAGCTGGCTATCTGGCCAGAATCAGGGCTCTCCTAATTCTGCAGGGTCTGATGAGGCAGGAGGGACCCTCTGTACCCCACACCACAAAGCATCTGAACAGCAAGGGCCAGCCTGGATGCCCAATGAGCATTAGAGCAGGAGCACATGAAGGCTGCCATTCCCTCCCCACCCATGGGTGTCGGGCTGGGTCTGGGAGAGGCACAGAGGTGGAAGCATTGCTTCCACACCAAGGGACAACATTTCTAGGCTCAAATTCAGTGCATGCCCCTAGTACCACGCTAGGCTAAGACAAGGGCAGAGCATCTCCTTGCTTGTCCACAGCCTGCCTGGTTCAAGCACCCCAGAGAGGGAGTGAACACAGTGAGCGAGAAGCCCTCACCTACCAAATTCACAGAGGAGACCGAAAAACCCAGGCAGGCACTGGCAAATGGTGACATTCCCCTCCAGACAACTGCCCCCGTTGCGACACTCGCAGCCCTCCGAGAGCTCTGCAAGAGAGGAGATCAAAGCTTCCAAGGACCCTTCCTGTTTACAGGGCTGGGACAGCGAAGCAGCCTTGCCAGATGCCACCCACAGGGGGAATTTAGGTGAGTGGCTGCCGTGAGCTCCGCCCAGACACCTCCTCCTT